TCAGCAATGTCAGCTTCTATGTTAGGTGTCTGCCACATATCTTTTCTTCTCTAAATCAGATTAGGGTTCTTCTATTCTGATTCATGATTTCACCGGAGCCGTTGGATTCATCGGCAGATCCAAAGCAAGACCCAAAATCGCAAGCCCAAAAAAACCCACGAAGGCCAAGCCTGATTCTGGTTCCTCTCCTTGAAAGCAGTCTCCCCCTTCGACTGCTCCGCCTCTCCTCAGGCTCATCCCGTCTTTGCCAATACTGTCGAGGGCTTGCGCTACCCCTTCCTCTTCTCCTTCTCCGATTTCGAAACCCTCCCCGACAAGCCTCATAAGAACATCATAAGGATGCTCAAAGGGAAGCCCTTTCGCAAGCCCGAAATCTCCGTCACCATTCAGGACTTGCTCGATAAGGCCAAGAGTAAGGGTAAGGATGGGTTGGTCGTCGACGTTGGTGCCAACGTGGGTATGGCCACCTTCGCCGCCTCTGCCATGGGGTTTCAGGTTTTTGTGTTTGAGCCCATGTTAGAGAATTTGCAAAAGATCTGTGAAGGGATTTACTTCAATCGAGTTGCGGATTTGGTCACTGTGTTTGAGGCCGCTGCGTCGGATCGCGTTGGTAACATTACTGTTTACAAGGTTATATTTCTTGCTTTATTTATTTTTTTAATTTAATTTTTATGTGTTATTTTTCGAGCTTGAATTGAATTTATGTTGTAGAAGCATGCTTGTTTTAGTTGGATACTAGTTCAGTTAGCTGGGAAAGAATCATTTGAAGTGCTTAGAGAAGAAACATAGAGAAAATTGTTATTGATGGAAATAGATAAATTAATAAAGAACTATTTCTATTAGTGGGAAGCAACACACCTAGTGAAGTATTGGTAAACATCCCCATAAACTATGGAAAATTTAGAAGGGAAAAGCGCAGTAAGCATGTTTGAGGAAAAGAACAAGATGGAATCCCGATCATCTATAGAATCCGATGGAAGCACAGAAGTTAGAACATGGAAAGATGAATCTGAGTTTTTTGAACTCGCGGGAATGGAATAATTTGGTGCAAGGTACTGGAGCTCAAAAACATGGTCAGAAGGAAAGAGAGGCATCTAATGTGCAAGAAAAGTGTAAACAAGTAAAATCAACTCAAGGAAACTATCAGGTGGAGGAGTATGAGAAAAAATATAAAACAACAAAAGAGGCTCGTGAACATGATGAAAAGTAACGTGTGGTCTGAAACTTATCAGAAAAAGAAAAACAATGTGGCACAGTAACAAGGAAGATGACATTACATGTGAACTCGCCGTTTGCCA